CTTGTGTTTTTCATAGGTGTAGTGGCCACAGAACTTTTTAAGACATTCTCATGAAACAAGTGTTCCTGGAAACTTGACATAAGTTTGTACAAGTAATAGGAAAACCTGTTGATGTCTAGTGCCAAGTTTATTTAGAAGGCTTTGTAGCCCATTACTACTGCTGACAGATCAAATATCAGACATCAAATCTGCTTTCTATGTCAGTGATTAAAAATGACTGTTTTTTTAACCATAACTGAGCCCTCCCAGCTGCCATAGGCCACTGTCGTGGTTTAGGAATGGTACTCCCCAATTTACTGTTTCCACTAAAAGTGCAAAACCACACAAAGCTCAGTCAATCCTTCCCCTCCTTTTCCCTCCCCCTCCCTGCTGCAGCAGATTGGAGAATTGGAGGCACAAAAGGCAAAGATCACGGGTTGAGGTAAAAAAAATTTACTGGAAACAGCAATGAGATAATAAAATGAACAGTAACAGCAATAATATTAATAACAAAAGTGTACAAAAGAGAGAGTGCAGAGCTTGACCTGAGCAGAGCCACTCCACCCTGACTGCTCCCTCTGGCTTGGGATCAACATTAACCCACAATTATGTCCACCCTGGCCTTGCTTGGCCAGAAGGGACCCCTTCTCCCTGGAAGAAGAGTCCCTTTTCCCCCTCCCCCAGCAATGATGTGAGGTGGTACAGAATAACCTCTGGGTCCTATCCATGTCCCCTCCTGCCTACTGCAAAAACTACCCCTGTCCTAGCCTGAGCCAGGACAGCCACTCACTCTGCCAGGCTCAGCATTTATCCAAACTCTGGAGGAGTTCTGGGATCTTACATTTTAACAGATTTGAAAAAGCAGGATCTTTCTTCAGTCTTGCTCTCAGAAAAGCCATCTGGCAATAGCCTCAACATTTACCATCTAAGAATTACAAGCCTACATACCCTGAGGCTTTATATGGTGGACACTAATCCACATCTTCGTCCTTCTTATTTAACTCCAATCCTAATCCTCAGAGGAAGCATAATTTCAAGGATGACAGCACTCTTCAGAATTTACCATGAGTCACTTTTCATTTCAACCTGCCTTGCTCTCCACATCAGTTTGCCATACCCAGCAATATATTCTACAGTTCCTGCTGTCCCAACTTTAATCATGATGGAGAGTTCATTGAGACAGCACTGGAGACTGTGCTAGAATATCTGTGTACATGCACAGTATGTAGGTTTGCGTTTGCTGGGGAGGAACAGTGCTTATGCATATTATACCAGTATTGCAACCCATCCCAGAAAGGGGTGGGGTGGGCGGGGCTTTGCTGGGTGAGCAGCGGCTTCTTTTCAGTTTGCAAAAGTCTTTTGGTGATCTCAGAATGTGTAAATCATTAACTGTCCCTTACAACGACATAACTGCAAAACTGTGCAAGGGAGCTCTCAGGTTACTGTGCAAGCTAGTGTATTGAAAGCTTTTTGGAGCCTGTCTTCACAGTCACTGTCCTGTAACAGATTCTCAAGAAAATGTCTAGTTTTTAGTACAACTTGTCAGATCGTGACTGACAAGTTAGGTATAAACCTTATCTGTTTCTTGACCATTCACTTAAGAGTTGGACCCGATGATCCTTGTGGGTCCATTCCAGCTCAGAATACTCTGTGATTCTGTGATTGACTGTACTGGTGTTGTCAGGATTGGTACTGATGTTTACAAATGAAAACATTGAAGAGGTAGCTTTTCTGCTGCATCCTAAACAATTTGTGGATATAACATAAGGCTTATCAAACAGAGGTAACACATCACAATAATCAATAAATTACTATTGTCTTGGGGAAGCATTTTGCCATTTTGTCTACATTGGAAGTTGGGGTTAGGATTTGGATTAGAATTTTTCTGAACCTGCTAGGTTACAGACATACAGCGTGGCCTTTGATTAGGATGTTTAACTTATGACTAACCCTGAGACCGTTTGAAGTGTCTTGGCTACTGTGAAAACTAGCACTAGAACTGTCATCTAATTATACATCAAATATAGACATAACAAATAATGTCACAACCATACAACTTAGGAAGTAACATCTAGATTTCTGGTCCTGTTCAATATAAGGCCAACCTTAAAGTGAAATCAGGTTGTTCAAAGCCATTATTTAATGGAGTTCGGGGTACTACCAAGGATGGAGACCTACAAGAATGCAGATACACCAAGGATAAAAAAGAAGCACAAGAAATTCTGAGGAGTTGGTTTTTGTTTGTATTATGCCAAGGCAACCCAGGACACCTGCCATATGAAAAAAGAAATACCCCTACCTATCACATGAATGCATGCAAGCATTTGAGAAAGCAAAGGACAAGTAAGTACCAGAAAGAGACAACAGCATCTGTCACTAGTAACGCCTGAGAAACAAGGAAGCAAGGTTTCAGAATGTGCATTCTTTTGGCAACCAGTGTAAATTCATTCACAGAATCTGAAAGATGCTACGGGAACTATGTCACAACCATAGGATCACAAACAATAGTTCACCTCTAGGTAGTAAAAATTGCTCACTGTCAACCAAAGGCTAATTTTACCCAACTTTGCTTCTGAAAAGATCTGACCACATTCATTCAAAACCTTTCATTAATTTCTCAAACTCTCTAGTGCACGAAGGAATGATCTACAGTTTTAATCAGATTTTACACGGAAGAAATTAACACAGATTTCTTTCACTCCAGTAATGAGTTATTATTCCTAAGAGGAAAAAAAAAACAAACCAAACCCAACACTGCTTAAGTTAGCTACTAAATCAGAAAGCTGATATCCATTTCAAACACTTGACAGACGCCCTCCTGACTCCAATAGAGCTCGTTACCCTGACACTTCATTCTTCCGCAAGCAACTTCCGTTGAGTGCTATTATGGACTTCTGACGCATTTTTCCAGTGGACCATAAGGTATCCCCGAGACCGTTCCCGGTTCTAATGCTTTTCACAGTCTCTCTGTCTCTTTTTTTTTTTTTTTAATTAAATTCCAACCTCGCGTTTCCAGAAAGGTTTTCGTAACCTACTCATGACGCATGAGAGGCAAACACCACTGTGAACAGATACGGAACTCAGGAGACGGTACCGCTCAGCCAAGCACCGCGATTTGGTTGAGTAAAACACAACAAAACAACCCTCAACAGCCCCGTCCCCGCCGCGGGGAGCGCTGCCCTCCGCGGCCCCAAGCGACACGGCCACCGGCGCGCCCGCTCCTCCTCGCCCCGCTTCCCTACGCGCCTGCGCCGTTTCCTTGGAAGCTGGGGTTGTTTTGGGCAGAACCACCCGCGCGGCTGCGGAGGGGGGACCGGGAGTGAGCTCACTGGCGGGGGGGAAGGCGGGGCACCCGCAGCTGCCGCCTCGGGAGCGGACGGGACCGACGTGAGTGATGTCCGCGGGGGCAGCGGGGCCGCGCCCCGGGCAAGGGAGCGCTGAGGCTGCGGGTCCGCCGCCGGGCGCCTGCCCCCGCTCGCGCGGTGCGCGCGCCCCCAGGGCGGGTGGGGCTGGGTCCCGCCTCCCGCCGCTGTGCCCCCCCCCGGCTCTCTGCCGCCGCGGGGCGGGGGGCTCAGCCACAGCCCGCCGTGGCGGGGAGGTTGGCGCGGGCGGGAGGCAGGAGCTGGGAGCGGGTTGGGCGGCGGCCAGCGCGGGCCGGTAGCGCGGGGATGCGTGGGAGGCCTCGGCGCGCTTCGGGAAGCAGTGGGAGCGCGTCCCGCTCCTTCGAACGCCGTGGTTGCTCAGGGTAACCCCGCGGGTTGACTGTCGGGGCAGGCGGCCTAGGGAGACCTGTTTTGCCTGCCGGTCTCGGCGCAGCGCGTGGTGGCACGAAGCAGTGCCGCGGAAAGCTATCCCTTGAGCAGTATTATTCCCCCCCCCCCGTCTTTACAAGCTTTGTAGTTCACTCGGGTAACATTGCGTGGTTAGTTTATCCCGCGGCACGTGAACACACAGTGCTGCTCCTTGCCTGGCACGTTGAGCTCCAAAGCCGGGATGCCTCCCTCCCATGAGGAATGTGCATCTTCACATCACGTGCTCATTAAATAATTCCATTGGTTAATCCAGTGGTGGTGCGTGTTGTGAATTTTCATTTATAGCTGTTTTATCTACCACTGTTCTTCTAGGCAAAGCAAAATGCTGCATTGGAAATTAAAATACTTGGTGAGGAAGCATTTTCATAATTATCAGATAAGGCAGAGACTTTAATAAACAGTAGAAGTCAGCTATATTTCCTTACATAGAACTGAAGTCCATAGTTTTGTTATCAGAGCGGACCGAGTCTGTTTGCAACTTTCTCTTCACTAAAGCTACCAAATTTCTGGGGGAAAAATACCCATCCCAACAGTTCCTCTAAAGCTGAAGCTTTCTGATACTGCTAGAAAACTGAGAGTAGCACCAGCTTTTTAAAACATCTTTTTAAGCTAGTTTGAACACAAGGTTTTTACAGGCACATCTAAACTGGAAGAAGGCTACTGCACTTCTGGTAGTAGTGTTTATTGATATGCAAGTACATAGATGGTTACATGATAATAATAAAACTTTCTGTCAGTTTCCTGGACTTAAATACTAAATTTTCTTTAATAAAACCAGGTTGTTTTTTGATGTCACATTTATCAATGGTGAAGAGAAGCAGATTCAGTTCAGTGTTATTTTGCTCTATGATTCTGAGTTGAAGTTCTTTCAGATTCAAAGTAGTGATACGTACGGGTAGCAGCATTAGAAACCTGCTAGTAAAACCTAAGATTTCTAATTATGATCTAAAAGATAAGTAAACAAGGCCTGATGTTCTACTTGTTGAGAAAAGAAAAGTTGAGGATTTTAGTTTAGGAAAATCCTGAGGTATGCAATTATATTTTGTCAACTCAGTTTCCTAAACGGTCCTAATTGGGTAGGAAGTTTGTCACTTAGCAATATGTAGTACAGATTCTGTATGTTCTGCTCATTATAGTGTAGGTTTGATTTATATCTTTTTTTAGTGACTAATAAAAGTGGGGTTTGTGAACGGTGGCCTTTTGGACATGTTTAGCACAGAGAATTCCTATATTACAGATGTAGAATATAGGAAATCAGTATTGCAAAATATTGTGAAAAGAGCAAGAATTTAATATGCAATCGCTTTTATAAATACATTCTATATGCATTTTTAGATATAAATATATATGTATATATGTACATGTAATATGAGAAAAGAGCAAACTAGGTGATTTTTGAGAAAGTGTATAGTAATTCTTGAAAGTTTGGACTTCATTAATTTGTTTCTCTGGTTATTCATGGTGGCTGGAATATGCCACTGTTCCAGGTATGTATTTTTGTCATTCCTGAATTGTCTTGTATTTTCTAACATGGAAGAGATCCAATCTAATTAGGCAAAAATGTATTTTAAAAAATTAATGATAACTGAATTTATTCAGCTTGGGGCACTGTGGTTGCTGAACTTTGATATACCATTAAATCTCTCCTATTTCAAGGTGAGATTACACTAAGTAAACAGCCTTGATCTTACCCCTGTTGATTAATGATCTGTATTTACGCAAGTCTAATAGTTGCTTTAATGCACCATGTAAAAAGTCATGAAATTCTAAATTGGAAACGTATATTAAATAATAGCACTATCAGGAGGACTTTATCTCTTAATTTTGTTGCCACAAGAGGATAGACAATTACTGAATAAATAGGCAGAATGATGGTAGCCGTGAGGTGAGCCTGCCCTCTGGAAAGGTGTTTGTTTCATTGTGAGCAAATGTATCTGCAAAATTAATTTACCTCTAGGTTGGGTTTTGGGGGTCTTTTTGTGATCTGATTTATTTAACCTTTGACCATAAAATTATTTCTATACTTGGAACAGGTATGTACTTTAGTCATTTTGCTTTTGTGTTCTATATTATCTCTCATTTTTTGTTTTAAGAGCCCTTTAGCATTTCATTTGTTTGTAATTAGTTTTCAAGGGCTGATTGCAATCACTCAACTAATCATAAGAGACTTTTCCATGTTCCTGTGGTCCTCAGTGAATGATGAAAGTGATAGAATCTGCTGTATTTTATAAACATGTCTAGTTTTCTACTTTTCTAAATTATAGGAGTTTTCTAGACAATTGTGAATTGACTACTTGAAAAGCAGCACTTAATAACTGTAGTACTTTTAAAATGCCCATTTGATGTTACTAAGTATAAATTGCAAAAGCAGTTTTATTTTCCAGTGGTGTTTTCTGGTACCATTTCTTGTAATAAGTGTTGCTTTTAATTGTTACTGGTTTAGTTGTGACAGTAAAGCTTTGCTTTGCGAGTCAAAACATGTTTCAGTGAGTGAAAATATTGTAACCTCATGAGTGTCATGGTGAAACATAGAACTAAACTTTTTTTTTGCTTCCAATAAGGTCCCTTCTGGGACCACCACACCATCCTTGCTCATTTCAAACATCCTTAGAATGCTGGATACTTAATGTAAATGCTTTGCTTAAGATATAAAGTAATGACACCTTACTTTTCTGACTAATCAACAGTTCTATAATCCCAGACCAACCTGAACACTTCTTGCTTTTTTTTTCTTAATTTGGTTAGGTTTGGCTATCCAGCAGGCCACAGTACGCTAAGTAACAAGTGTGGAATGACTTGAAGGTATGTAGCCTGTGCAAGTTAACACTGTGAAAGAAAGATGAGAGGGATCTGAGGGTACGGTGGTGCAGATTCTTGGGGACCCAATATAGCCTCAGCTCTTCCCTGTGCTGGTATAAGATGTGTGTGCCCAGGAGTACATGTTGAGGCCCTGTGGTATGTCTGGCTCACTTTACTGCTATTAAACTCTCAGCCTCAAGTCAGAATGGCTACACGCGAACCGCCTATTAATAATAATCCATAATAACTCCTAACCCGTATATAGGTGAGTGTTAGGTGGCTTGGACCAAAGTGGGGCAAGAGTAATGCAACCATATCCTGGCAGTATTTAATGCTATGTGTTAATTTGTTAGGATCGATGTAGTCTGGGTGTCTATTCAATTTGAGTTCCTGGTGTTTAACAGGACATTTTGCCTAGGGAGAACTTGGAGCTATTGCTGGATGGGATGTCAGGGAGATAGGTACAATAGTTTGTTGTCTGGAAGGCTAAGGGGAATATAACACCTTCAGAAATCTAGGTTTCATTAGTTCTGCTGTTTACAAAACAGCTTTTTGTATTAAAGTTTTTTGTAAAACATTCTGAATTTTCTTGATGAAAAGATAAAGCTGTGTAATATTTTTTCTTGCCTTCAAGCTTTGTTTGGATTGCATTTGTAGGCTTTTCTCCACAACCAGTAGGGCCCAACATTTTTCTCTTTAGAGAAATGAGTTTCATGTAATTGCTTCTCTGTTTTGTGAAAAATACAAATGCTTTGTGAAAACATAAATATTTAGAGATTTGTAGTAAAGTTAGATTTGCTGGCAGCTACTAATCTTTGCTTTGGAAGTTATGAGCTGACTACAACGTGATTTCCTCAGTGATGCTGTCAGGATAGGAACCTGATTAGAAAGGCTTCAATATAAATGGCTTTGTGGGTCATTATTATTTAAATAAACTGTTGGGTTTTTTAGAAGATTGTAGGACTATAGTGCTGAATTATGTGGCTATTGCCAATTGTAGTGTTGTTATTTATTTACTCTCAAATAATAAGTATCAGATGCTGAGAATCCTGAGCTGTACTCAATATTAATCAGCACACATTCAATTGTTAGTTTCAAGTCTGTGGACCAGTTATGTTAATGAAAATTTTTAATTACTTTAAATAGAACGGTGAATTCTGAGGAAGAGGCAGCTGGTGTTTTGAGCCACTTCTAACTGAGGACTGAAAATGCCAGCAGGTAAGAATACTTTGTGTTTGATTTCCAGTACTTATTTTATAGTTAGAACTGGATGCAAATGATAGAAGTTACTTCTGACTTATATAAATCTTTAATACTGCACTGGCTTCTTTTTGAATGCATGATTATAGTTGATTTTTGAAGTTTTGGGTTTTTTTTATTTTAAACTTGGGGACTCTTGTAAAAATTGTAATGGCAATGATACATATACTGTAGCTGAGGATTCAACAGTCTTTTTCTTAACTGAATACTAAGTGAATTTTTTGGTAAACTTTCCCTGATAAATAATTCTCATCCTTTGCAATTTTAAATCATGATTGTGCACTTTTTTAGCAATGGTGATTATTGAGACAGTGAATCATACTCTAGATTTCTTTTTGCAGTTGAAAGTGAAGCAAAGGCAAAAACCAAAGTCCGCTTTGAGGAAATCTTCAGACGCCATGCAGGCCTAACAGATGCAAAGAAATCAAAGAAAAAGAAGTTTGACTCTCCGGAGAGTATTGTGGTGAGTTAGAACACATATAAGTTTTGCTTGATTGCCTTCCATAATGGAAAAAAGATCAGGAAAATGTACCGTAGAAAGGAGCTGTAAACATTAAAAAAAAATGAAGTATAAATTATGTTTCTACACGTATCCCTTATTTTTGATGTGGCTTTTATTTGTTGTTTGCGTACCAGCAATGCATCCTTGTAATTTGGAGGTATAGACTATAATACTGGTAAAAAGGAAGTGGCACATGCAGGCATACATTTACCTAATGCCCGCCGGTACTTTGTTTTCAATTCACATTTTTTCTAAAATTTTTAAGATTTTCAAATTCAGTATTGACTTTACTTGGAGTTAATTAGATATTTGAGGGCTAGTAGAATTATGGCTTTAAAAGTATCTGATTTCGAGAGTCCTACATCTGTGTAATAAAAGTATGTCCATCTAATACAGCTGTGAATTGAAAACTGATGAGAAATTGTAATAATACTAGAGATAATAATTAACTTTATTCAATTTTCTACTTTTTTTTTTTTAATTTGATGTCAGTGATCAGAATATTTCTGCATGTGCTGAGCTTTGTGTCTAAGTGGTCCTGTGTTCACATGCCAACTTTTTTTAAAGATTTTGACCTTAGCTTGTGACTTGCCTATTAGGAAGGATTTTATCACCCTGACTTTATGGTTAAATGACATTTTTATTTGTGGCATATCTGTCATTAAAACAGCCTCTGAATTATGGTTCAGATTCTAGTCTTTTTCCTGAACAGGAGAATAAATGTCTAATATGAGTCCTATATATACTTGATTATTGACTTAGAAGATTTGGACTTTAAAAAGAAACCAATTTGCTTAAGAGACAAATGTTCTGTTTTTCTACTTCCCACTTGTTAGGTTTTATGTTTTAAGTATTTTTCCTTGCAATATCCTTATCAGGTGCTGGAAATGAATGTTCCTTCTTTAATATTCATTTAAGACAAAGAAGTGGTATTTAGTGTAATATCAAAATGTTACCTGTCTTTATTATATATATTAAATATATTCAGAATAGTTATATTAAACTTAGTATTGCTATTTTGTCTTAAATTGGCAATTTGAAGTTTAATTTTATGTGGACTTTAATAATTTATGTTCCTTGAAGTATATTGTATTTAGTCAATAGTCTATACAAAGAATTAACATTATGTCTAAAATATATCACAGAGAGTTCAAGGGTGGGTTTTTTCCTTTTTTGCTGGCATTTGTCTAAATACAAGACTAAATTCTTCCTCAGTTAGGTTAACCTTCTTTATGAAATGTGAATTATTAATTGTTATTTTTAAGTATTTTTAAGTACATAATTATGTGTTCATATGCAAATAGATATTACTCATAAATATTTTACACTTACTTTGGTTTTAAATTTGGTTTCCATTTCAGAAGTCTCTGACGTAAAACACTAGTGTTTTGGAGTTACCTAGAAACACTTAAAATCACAATGACCTGAGTCAAAATTAGTGGTATGCAAGCAAATTAGGAAGCATTTTTAGGATCAATGTGAAACCTAACTTTATGGCTTTGTTGAAACTAGATTTTTACCAATCAAAGCAATTAAAAACTAAGAACTTTCCTTAAAGTGTGGCAAAGTTGCAAGAGCTCAGACTGGTATTTTCCGTGCTGGTTGCTTTCAAGTAGAAGTTTCTGTAAAAGCTTCAGCAAATAAACAGTCATTTCTCTGTAAGAAATAAATGTGTGTGGGAGTGGAGGGAGGAGGAGGTAGATGGAGGAGGTTTGCTGGTTTTGTTCCCATTTTCTTCAGTTCATATGATTTAACTATACAGAGTTTCACATATCTTGAAATAATGTGAAATTTGTCAGTGATGGTTGGCTTTGTGTCACGCACTTGCTATAAATGGTATCCTAGGTTTGATCAGAAACGGGTCATGGTTGAGAGCATATTTCAACTGGAAATGTACCAGTCTACTTCCTTCCTTTGTCTTTGCTCTAGCCTTTCTTAGATTAATAAAACCTTTTCCCTCATATCCACTGTTTCTTTGAAATCTGAGTTCTGGAGCTGCATGAGGTTGCTGTGATTTTAAATGACAGAATTGAGGATAAGGAGATTGCCTGCCTGCTTGCCTGTGCTGCTCTGTGTGCCCATTGCCTGGAGACCCTGTCTGGGGAGAAGGGAAACAGCCTGGCTGGAAGAGGAAAGGTTGATGTCTGTAGGGCAGGATGAGTTTAAGTCACAACTAATAGGAAAGAGGGGCTTGTAATGGAGATGGAAATAGGCATCAGCTGTGGCCAGTGCAAGCTCTGTTTTGCTGTTCAGTAGCCACAGGAGCAGTGGTGTGAAGCCTAAAGGCATGGCTGAAGATACAAGCAATTGAGACACACTCAGAAAGTGAATTTGCTAGTATCTTTTCTAGGGCAAACGGTCACCATAATTTTTTTACCAGTTGTTCCTCCTCTTACAAGTTGTTAGAATGAGGCAAGCTTCAGTTCAGGCAATATGCAGATTATTTTGCCCAGCTATTTTAATCTGTCTAAGGTCAGCAGGAAAATTTAAGTTTATTTGGTTTAATCTAAATTTTATGGTAGAAAAGAGCATGTTTAACTCTGAAAACGTAAGTGAATTTTTCTACCAGATGAAAAGCAAGATCCCATAATGGAGGCAAAAATTTCTTTCCTAGACTGTAGTCTGATCAGATTACAAATTGGGGTGGGCGTACATTGATACTAAGGTTTTATATTCAAGGCAGGACTGCAACAGATTTACCTGTTTGAAGCTTTATATTTCCTGCTTCACTGAACCTGCTCCTTCTCTTTCTTCATAAGGCCCTGAATGACAGGCTGGAGTCTGGAATTTCATGTGGGTACAGATAGTAGGAGTCCATCATCATGCTTGACAATTATTGTATTCTTTTGGGTAAGATGGTGGTTTTACAGGTTTCTTCTGACCAATTCAGTACTTTAGCATCTGTCTCAGATGTAAGACCTGCAGAGCTTTAAGGTTGTAGAATTTTCCCAGGTTCTGCTTTTTTTGGGCATGCTGACAGACACTGAGTAATTATGGAGATTTCTGCTGGGTTTTATCCATTCGTTTCTTGTGTTTCTTGTTTGTTTCTGCTTTGTTTCCTATGTTTCTTCATTTCTTGTGTTTAAAATAATAGAACTGCTAATAGTTGACTGTATAATGTACCTACACGTTTTCTCAATGTTTTTTGTTAGAATTTGGTGAAACTTGTCCAAGCCCATCTTATCTGTAAATTAAAGGTCTTCTAGCTTAGTGCGTCTACATTTTATAGTCTTCTATGAGCAATGGCAGTAAAATTGGTTTCCTAGCACATGAAGATTTTCTTAAACTCAACAAATCAGCATCACAAGTACATTCATTACCAATTCAGTTGTAAGTAAGTGGTTTTTTACAACTGGTACATATCAGCGCTTCAATGGGCTGGCAGTGTCCACCCCTAATTTTTCAAGGTGTGCCTGTGTTAGGGAAAGAAGTTCAGGTACCTTTGTAAATCTGGTTATGTGAGTTTCCAAATACTCGTGACAAACTCACTTGATATGTTGCTGGCTTCCACTCATGCATATTTGAGAAGCCTTTTTAAAAAGGCATTAGATTATTAGGTGTTGTCCCTTCTGTCAGCTCTGGGACACAAATGGCGAGTGATGTGACCTGAGGTTGGCTCATTGTGATATGAGCCTTGAGTGTTAGCCCACCTGCTTGCATCTTGGCTGGCACCCATCTCTCTCTCCTATCAAGCCGGTAGTGCAAGCAAGTCTGTTTTCAGGAAAGAGTGTTTCCTCTGCCCTGGTGTTGTAATGTAGCCATGGAGCTGTTTTGAAAAAAAGCCTTCTTATTTGTTTCAGATTTTAAGCTGAAGTCATGTTCAGGTCAGAGGCCTGTCTCTGGAGTTAACTCCAGAGGGTCGAGCTGCTTTTCCAGCCTAACTGCTTTCTCTAACTCAGTTTAAGTGTATTTATGTATTGACAATTGCTCTTAGTTGGTATTTCTCAGTCCTGCATTTCAGTCAGAGAATCTATACCAGTATCCCTGCCTTTGCCTGAGTCCTAATCTGATGGCTTTCACTTTATTGTTTTGTGACTCCTTTGCATCTTTCCTCTCTATTTAATTACATCATATAACTACAACATGTGGAAAAAGTGGCCTGAATTAAGATCATACAGGCTGTGTATCTGAGGAATTTGTGTTTGAACTGTGGAAGCAGCTTTGTGCTGCCTGCAGTATCCATAAATGTGCTAGGAATTTGCTGTAGTTTGAGACTGGGTTTTTTTTCATTACAAGGATAATCTGTGGTGTTTTTTTTTTCCTATAAGTAAATTTGCTATAATTGTGTGCTTACTAGTTGTGACACATATTTGTGTATGTATGTTTTGTTCCTTCTCACTACAAGAAACACATTGAGGGGCTGGAGTGTATCCAAAGAAGGGCAGTGACACTGGTGAAGGGTCTGGAGGACCTGTCTTATGAGGAGCAGTTGAGGGAGCTGGAGTTGTTTAACCTGGTGAAAAGAAGGCTTAGGGGGGACCTTATCACTCTCTACAACCACCTGAAAGGAGGTAGATTGCATATGAGGAAAAGCTTCTTCACTGAAAGAGTGGTCAGTCATTGGAACAGGCTGTCTAGGGAAGTGGTTGAGTCACCATTCCTGGAAGCGTTCAAAAGGCGTGTGGATGGTTTAATGGTGAGCACAGTGGTACTGGATTAACAGTTGGACTTAACGATCTTAATGGTTTTTTCCAACCTTAAAGATTCTATCATCTATGGTTTTTGTTGGTAGGCATAATAAATAACAAGTTCTAGTAAATATTTCAAGCCAGTTTTTGCTAGATTTCTTTAAGGAAATGATTTCTTTAAGGAAATGATTCTTGAATATCACAGTTGTTTTAGAAACTTCTTGGGCTTAATGGATTAATGTTCTGTGAAAGACAAAGCATGACCTCAGCTATTGGCCACTGTTGGGTCTTAATTGTTGGTGTGTTTTAATCTTCATTCCTCATACTCTGCAGTTAAAGCCATTCATAGAAACAAAGGTAAGGAAGTAAACTATTTATTAGAAGTTTTTGTTTCTGGTTTGTTTGTTTTTTTTAGTTTATACCAAGCTTAATGCTTTAATTGTTTTCTTTCCCTTACTCTGTTCTGTATTTCAAGTGATCTATATGTGATTTTCCACATCTTCTTGAAACACTGATTTATGAATAAAAATGATGTTACTGCTTTGTTTAAGCAAGTATAAGATGAAGATACAAGGACAGTTTTTTCATTATTTGGTGTTTAAACTATTTTTAGACATATGAGCTAAAAATAAAGATACCTAATGAAAAGGTATATGAATGGCTTTAGATTTTATGATGTCTTAGATAAGTATACTAGCATGACATTCTGGGTGGTTTTTTTGTTAAATTTATACTTTATTTGTGGAGTGTTGTTTAAGAATTAACATTAATAAGTCTAGTCATTGCATTTTTAGGTCTCTAGTTGTCTGTAGTTTCAGATGTCAGCTTTTACTTATGTGTTAAATTTTGTCTTTGTGTATTTTTCTTGTCGCACTGCTTTTATTTGTCGATTTTCTCATACAAATAGTAAACTTCCTTGTTTTTTTTTCTTGTGCTTTTACTCACATACTTCAAGTTTGCCTTTCTTTTTCCTTCATTCTCCTTTTTCAGTTCTTGTAATATTTTCCGTGCTCACCAAGTTCTCTCTCCAAGTGTCAGATGTGAATAAAACAAGATAGTGAGGAAGGTTTGCAGGCTCACATAATTAAGGGCCTAGAATATGAAGGTAGATGGTTTGCACATTGGGTATTCTCTTCTTTCTGGTTATAGAATACTGTTCTCACAGGTGGGCATTTTTAAGTCAGGATATATCCTCCAAAGCATGATTGCCATTGCAACTTCATTCTCTGTGTTTTCTTCTTATAAGCTTGTATGTTTTGGTGATCATTTATTATACATATTGTCCCTCTTTACAAATATTTGAGGCAAACATGATTCTGTAACTGGGAGAAGTATCCCAACTAGAAAGGGACAGTGTCTGTGTTTATTGAGGAAGAGAGTCTTGGCAAATAAAAGATTGTATGCATATACATATATTTTCTCCAAACTTTTTTATTTTTAATTTGCTTTCATTGGTTTTTAAAGTCCTTTCTGATGTTTCATGATGAGTCTCTAAGGGATTTTTCTGGAAGACAACAGAGTAAATGAACCTCAGCAACTTTATAGAAGTTTTGTCGAGGATCAGAGGTCTGTGTGTTGACCTCTTTACAGAATTAGACAGTTACTTGCTGTGTTCTTTGGTGATATCACAGAATCATAGTTTGGATTGAAAGGGACTTTTAAAGGTCATCTAGTCCAAGCCCTCTGCCATGATCAGGAACATTTTCAACTATATCAGGTTGCTTAGATCTCCTTCCCATCCAAGGGAGGTAGTATTATTACCTTTAGTAACCCAGAATAGAAACTTGAAGGGAAGAGGAAAGTTTACAATGTGTTTTCTGTAAAACCTCCAAGAATTAGAAGTGGTGCACAGGCAAATGCATTAGCTGAAATTCATCTTTGCTGTTTTTGCAAGACTGTTCTCTAGATTAACTCTCTGCCATTCCACTAAGAATAATGTGGGGTGGGTTTTTGTTGTGGTTTTTTTTTTCAACTTATATTGGTTTGGGTTTTTTTAGAAGTCTTAATGGAAGTCTGTTTTTCCGTTTTAGACCATTCTTAATATGATTTCATTGATATATTTTGAGAAGCAAAACATCTGAGCCAGAAGTCTGTCTCTTAACTTGCATTTTCAATGGATAAAAATATTTGGTTTTGTGCTGCATGTAGTCTGCAAGTCTTCCATAGTGTAAACATTGGCATCTGTTTATGGAGTAGACTTGATTTCTTTTTTTACTGGGTAAACATAAAAGTTATTTAAAAACATAGTGAAACATTGAGGATCAGGTGGCCAAACACGAAATGTTTTTTCCAGTGTGAATTTTCTGTTGACTTTCAATCTGTCACTTGTAAAATCAAAACAAGAAAATAACTAAATCTTTGATTTCGTTTTACTTTGTGTAAGATTGCTGAAGGAATAACATGATGTGCTACGTTTATCTACATGATTTTTAGTACAAATGTGTTTTATGTTCTTTTCGTTTATAGCTTGATACCTTTAGAAATAAAATTGATCTATCTAAGGAAAGTGTGAATGATGAAGCAATTATAAACAACACATATAATCCTGAAGAGGAGAGTCCGCGATTTACAAAAAATAAATTGAGAGAGAAAGCATCAATTGCAGAGAAAATAAACAATGATATAGTTAGTGGAGAGAAGAAAAAGCAACCAAAGTCAAACAGGAAGAAAAAGAAATCACTGTTACAAGAACAATTTAATGAGGAGGAAGATTTATATGAAGCTAAATTGGGGAGTTTTGAAAAAAAGACTAATGATTTTCCAAAGAAGAAAACAAGAAGTAAATCACAAACAGATGTACTTCCTCAAGAAGCAGATAGAAAGATTAAAAATTCCTTGACTGAAGTGAGAAATGTAACTGAATTAGAAGAGGAAGAGCAGCTAATTCAAGCCTATCAGCTGCATGTGGCTGAGGATGAGGCAAATGCAATTAAAAAGAAAATGAGAAAGAAACTTAAAGAACAGATGTCTGAATCTACCTCCGCTGTTCAAAGCCATGAAGTTGCATTGAACAATGAAGTGGGCAAAAAGAAAAAAAAGAAGAAAGAAATAGCAGTTTTAAGTGAAGCTGAAACAAGGTATCATGATAAACTGTACACTGTGTGTCTGTGAATCTTAAGCAAAATGTTTCATTTTGTTTTAAGATAGACAGAAGCTTTCTGATAAATTGTTCGTATTTCCTAAGTGATTAATTGGATGAATCTGTCATGGAAAATTATTACCAGATACTTTTTCAAAATTCTGTCATGATTAATGTTTAACTCACAGATTGTTTTTAACTTTTTTTTTTTTAATGTCCTCCATTGCTATTTGATCTGTGTTTTCTGTGGAACTCGCTCTTAAGTAACTGAAGATAATTTTATGCATGATTTTATTTTTTTTTGTGATAAGTGATGGCCCTGATCCAGCAGAAGAGCATTAGCTTAGCTCTAGTCACAAGAGTGGTTCTGCAATTGTGTGGAAATTAGGGGGAGGTGAAGGAGGGAGAGCAGTGAGAAAGGCAAGACAATAATGTGGGGGCTGAGGAGTGTTGCATTTTCAGCATAAACAGATGATAAGTTGCAGAATTCCAAGTGGATTGGTAATGGTTATGAGTAATTGTATCAGTTTATGCAGTGGAGTGCAGTTGCCCTGATAGTAATTCATTACTTTGCAGTGCAATGTCCATTTCTGAGCTGCAGCATCATCCGGAAAAAGATGGCAATGAAAGTCAGTCACCCGAAAGACTATTTACATCAGAAGGACAGACACTCAAGGAAAGCATGGATAAACAGAAACCTAAAGCCAGGAAGGTTAAAAAGAAAACCAGAAAAGGTCTACCAGCAAAATGTTATAATAGTGTATACTTTGCTACCTGTTTTTTTTGTGCTGCTACAGAAATATTTATCCATAGTGGTAACATAGAAGTTGCTTAATAATAGTGTATTATTAAGATGCATATTCTGTTTTTTTAATTATTATTTTATTATTTTTTTTACTTTATGCTAAAAAATGGTTCATCGCCACTGTTTTGACCTGATGGCTCAATTCAAATGTGAGAAATACTATTTCATGCAATGCGTAGTAAAATTGGAGAACTTGATTCCTCAAATATTGTGGAGGCCAAAGTAAGAAATCAGATTTTAAAAAAAGGAAATTACTGAAGCTGATGAGGAGTAGGTATCTTGATATCTATCAAGTATTGTAGTCTCCTCTTAACTTGTAAATGAGGAATTTCTGAAAACAGTGTTTGGTATATTCAGGGAAAAATACACATGGAGAAAGCATCAGTTTCTACTTGCCTTTTTTTTGTCTGTTTTTCTAAAACAAACCAAACAAAACAAACTGCAGGCTGTTGAACTGTATGGATTTTAAGTCATTGTGGCACAGAAGAACCTCAATCAAGAGGAAGACCTGTGATTTTTAAATTAAAATGTTTGTTATTAGGAATAGATTATATTAATTAATGTGTACTTCTGTGTATGTTCATACATGTTAAAGATGCTGCAAATTCGATAATTTTATTTTAACCTATTACATAAAGAACACTTTTAATATTATTGCTTTACTATTGTTTGAGAAGACAATACAGAGCATTTTTACTGCTTTGAGGTTATTATGTTCCACTGGTGACAGTTTATTTACTTTGTTCCTATTTCTAGAAGAAACCACAGAAGTTGCTGTAGAAAATGATGAGGAAAAGAAGAATTCAGAAATGTCAACTCAGTCTAAATTTGGTTTTGCTGATGATCTGATTTTGGGAGTTTATATCCATCGATCTGACCGACTTAAAACTGATCTCTTGGTATCTCATCCTGTAGTTAAAATCCATGTTGTTGATCAGAGAAGTGGCTTATATGTCAAGAAGGATCACAGGTGACTTTTAATAAACTGTTTCTATTATCAATGTTTACAATAAATAGGTATACTCTTCCCTAGAAAATTAAGTATAAAAATGAAAACAATGCGCAATTTTAAGCATGCGTAGTCATTCGTTAGTTTCTACATCTGTGTTTCTATGTGTGTGTGTATATATACATATATATACCTACAATCAATGATGGTGGCATTTGTCTTTTCCTTTTGGCACTTTTAAATGCTCTGCACTGCTGTATTGCTCTCGAGGTCCCCATATTTGCAACGCAGTTAATTCTATATTCTTTCCAGAGAGAAAATTTCCTAAGTCCTAAAAATATGTAAAAGCCAAGGTTAGAATAAGTAAGCAAAATTCTTGCAGTATAAATAATGCCTACCTTTTCTTTTTTATTAAAGAACTTCTAAAATCCTGAAATAAAGTTTAGTTCTTCATATTTCTAATTGCTTGAGTTGCTTGTTTCCACTGTCATTATGCATGATTTTCCTGAAACCCAAATTTTAACTGTGTTTAAGCAGTAGGCTCTACCATGACCATTATGCATAAATTTGCTAACAGTAACTTAATGGTTAGGATTTTGAACTTTAGCCTGCAGCATTTCTATATACATTGCAAATTGTGTTAAATTTTGGATGAGTTTTTTTCTAGAATCAAACAAATAGTTTGCTTTCAGTAATTGAAAATACTGTTTTGCTTGAGGTTTTTTTTTAATTGCTCTAACAATTGTAACTCTCTGGAAATTTTCAAGCAGCAAGGGGGAAGTTTCATCTTATGAACAAGAAGAAATAGAGCACATTATTCCTATTATGACTCAACCATATGACTTTAGACAGTCTAAATCAACAGTTCCAGAGTGGGAAGAACAAGTAATATTTAATGAGCGTTTTACTTATTTAACCCAAAACACTGAAGAAAACCCTCAGGTTATCCTGTTTTTTGAGGTAAGGTTAAATATTTTGCATCCAGTTTATGCATATTCTGATTTTTGGTTTGTTTCTTCAGCAGTATATATTTGACTGATTCAGATGTTTTGTTTTAGTTAGAATGGGTTAATAGCATAGCCTTAAGATACAGAATTAACTGGAGATACCAAAAAGTGTTTTTTCATAAAATAAAAACAACTCCTGTTTTGATAGTAATAAAGAGTACAAAACTTATTAAATCAACTGTCAAACTTCTGGGAAAGGCTGGTAAGATATGAAGGATATCACTTTTTCCTTTTCACACTCTTGAAATCTGAAAAGAAGTACCGGAAACTGAAAGGCAGAATTTGTCTGCTTGTAGCAACAGCTCATTGTACCAATGAGTAAGCTGTTGCATTGTTTCCATTAACATTTTACATGTCTACTACTTCTGGCCCCATCTTCATAAAGTAGTTATTAATTTGTCCTCTATATTGTAAATTATATATTCAACATAATTTTGAGCTTAAGTATTTCAATATTTGTACAGAGAGATTCTGTAGTACTAACCTCAAAATGGTACCCTAATACAATAAATATTTTTTCATTCCTTGTTTTTTTTCTGTTTCAAATAGATTGAATATAATACATTACCATGTGTTTCTTTATGTTTTGTGATGCTTATAAATGAACATACTTATAGAATTAAGAGTCCTTAGTTGCTTAACACAAAACTAATTATATTTGTAAAGATTCTTCATGGAAATCAAACTGATGTTAGGACCACAAAAAGTATGATTACATTGCGAGTATGCTGTTTGACTTCAGCGTGGTTTATCAACTGAAAAATCAATTTGAAGAAAGTATGATTCTAAGGGGAGTTTTTTTTGTATACTGAGATAAACTTCCAAAAGTACCTAAATATGATAAAATTCTGGTTCCTGACAGAAAAATGAAGATTCTTATGCGCATCCCTTGAAGTATTCAAGGCCAGGTTGGATGGGGCTTTGAGCAACCTGATCTAATGAAAGATGTCCCAGCCCATGAGACAGGACTCTATAGTCTTTGAAGATTCCTTCGAGCCTAAACCATTCTATGACTGATTCTATGACAAAAGTGATAAATTTAGGAAAGGAAAATTAAATTTGTGACTGCCATTTTCCATCTGGATTAGTATGCACCTAGTTTTAGCTGTCAGATTTGTGATCTCTATGACTTCTGAAGTGTATAGGATTTAAGAAAATTACACATTATTGTTTCCTCTTTTACTGAGACAGAAGGGAAGCGAAAATAGGTTTTTTTAAGACCAGACGTTCTTTTTAATGCAGGTCATAAATAGCCATCAGGTAAATGCATAAGGATCTGTCATTTCTAATTGTGCCCTTGGATGGGAAAAATACTGGTTTTGTAATTTCTTAAAATTGAAATCTGTTTAATTTAGTGAATTGCACCTAGCATATTTTCAGCAATTATTTTTTAATTACCATGAAGTTCGTTAGAAATACATTTATATTCCCGCTGATACTTCTAGGTCCTTGATTGTCTAAGTATGGATGAAGTGAGAGCCAACTCCAATGTACAAATTCAGGAAGGTCATTATCGAAAAATTTGTTGGGCATTTTTAAAGGTATTGTAAATATTTAATTAAAGAAGCAAAATTTATAAATATTTTTATCTGAAAATCTCTAACTGTACTTAGTAGGGAAACATTTTTTTAATATTTTCAACAACAGAGATGGGGGAAAAAATTCCTTGCTTGGCTGTTCTCTCCTTTCCCTCTTCTTTCACCTGATAAAATCAACACATTAACAAGCTTGACAATAAAAAATATGTGGGTTTTAAGAAAGTATAGAACGTGTAAGTTTCTTTTTTTTCTTCATAAAGTACAGAAAAAGATTTTCTCTTAGGGTTTTCTGTGTGGTTGTGTGATTTTGAAGAAAATGACAAATCCACTAATTTCTGTACCTCAGCTGTTCTGTATTCTGGTGGCATTTTTAGTTGTCCAATCTTTGAAAAGACTCCCTAGCCCAATTAGAAATTTCCTCTCATTTTTAGTTGTGGCATTGGGAATGCTGTGACAATTGATATACAAATGAGGCAAATGTGAGATACTGGTAGTTTAGCCAGCACATGTGTACCTTTTTACCCTTTTAGGAGAGACTTGAATGTGTCAGTTTGTTCTTTAAGAGCTGGCAAGCTTTAGTTTCGTTGAGGATTGTTTATTAACACCTAGCTGCATGGATGATAAGCACTGAGCAGTCTACAGCATGAGAAATACAGGAGAAGATAATGGACTGCAAGTTTAGGTGAAGGGAGTGGGACCTTCATATCAGTTCAATATGGAGATTCTTCTTAGCTCTGCCCAAGATGAATCTACTGGAAACAGAAGTCTGGTACAGCATATCTGGGTGTATAGCTGTGCATCCAGGCATTCAGGACAGCCTACTCCTGAATGGAGGGAAGGGTGAATTTTCAGCATAAATATGAATAAAATGGTGGCCTGTTCTTTGTTCTTACTTGTCTGTCTGCATTATCCTTTTATCTGTATCAGTCGAAGTAATGTCCTGATAAACACTGACCAGTGTTAATGGCAGTAGGTACACTTGTTCTTTAGTTCAATAGACAGAACTCTGTCTCCTCTGAAGTTGGAGATGCTACAGCTTTGCTGTATCTTCTGCTCTGAACCAAAGCCTTAGCAATGCCCTTTGTTGCAACATTCAAAGGAAACAAATTTGGAAGAGGCTGTTTGTGGATTGGCAGTTGTTTGGGATTTGGTTGATTTTAGCAAGTAATAATTAAAAAAAAACAAAGCCAAAAAAACCACTAATCCAAAACCAACAACAACCAACCAACCAACCAAACAAAACCAAAAACCAAAAAAAAACCCCAAACAAAACAAAAAAAAACACGACAAAAAAATTAAACCAAACCGAACCAAAACAAAAAAACCCGAAGTAGTACTACAGAGGTCTTCCCACTTTCATGGTATTACTGCTGTGAAACATGTTTCAAAACTAGGCTGCTATCTAAGCTTTAATCTTAGTGATTTGATCTTGGGGCATTTAATAATGTTAAATTCATTACCACTTCTAGGATTAGTATATTTCTGCAATGGGCAGTGGATTTCAAGAGTTTATACTGGAGCTAAAATACTAGAAATTATCAATTACTTTTATTTCTCGTATGTTAACTTTTTCTTCCTCTTTCCTCTAATTAATCACCCTTCCAGCTTGTAGGTGCAAATGGAGTTCTAAACATTGGTGGAAAACTTCGTCTGCAATTATATTACCCACCTTCAAGGACCAAGTCACGTTCAAATGTTGTTGAGGTTTATGACTGGTGGGCAAAATGTCCTAGAAATCGTTACCCATCAACTTTATATGTAACCGTAAGAGGCATAAAACTGCCGGATCATGTAAGTTAAATATATAATATATAAATATATTTACAAATATGCAGATTTTTCTGCAGGAACTAGTAACTAGCTAGAGCATGTGCATCTGTGTTTGTATACATGGATATAAAAACTGTGCTTGTATGCAGTATATAAAATACATTATAAGAACATTGCATCTGAAGATATGTTTCAAACTCAGCTCTTCCTAGTTATCTTTGAAAAATAGACTTACTTTCCCATCTACAACTTTGAATGTTTTGTCACTGACAGAAAACTTTTAGAGTAATTTCTTGAAGATTAAGGTTCCTTCTTATTAGGGGAAATGCCGTTTTAAGTCACTGGACTCGTGCAGGTGTGTAAATTCTGTGAGAGAAGATGTAAGTCACTTAACTCTATTCCCTGCACCCTCAAGCTATAATGAGCTGTATTTTTTTTTCTCAGATGAAAACTCCTTTAAAGATAGGCTTACATTGGTATGGGCTGAGGTGCACATTCAAGATAAATACAGCATTTCCTTTTCTAGTATGCAAGTACAGTATTGTTCTATTATATAATTTTCTGTTTGTATTTAGACCTGTAATAAGTCTTTCTTATGCTCACTGTTTGTACAGTCAAGGGTGATGTGGAAGGCTGGTGAGATGTGCCTGGACAAAAACCGAGCTAATCTGTAGGATTAGTTCACAGGGTTTGGGACGCTCTAATTTGTGTACTGGAATGACATCTGCAGATCTCCTGCTCAGTCAGCTGCTGAGCTTGTTAGGAAATCTGTGCACTTTACTTGAGCAGCTGTGCTTCTTTTTTTCTGGAAGTCCTCTGAGCCTGTCTTTACCATGGTCTGATTGTTTTCCTGGTAGGTTTAGGTGCTGTCACTGGTTTACAACTGTCCCTACTTTACAGTCCTCTGTGAAATTCAGCTGATGTGGTGAATTTGTAGGCTTTCTGACCTGTGCCTGACTGGATTCATTGATTACTGGTATTATTTCATTCCCGTTCTCATAAATGCCAGATTTGGTAAGGCTGGGATTGAGCTCCAGATAAGAGGCATGGCATGACAGTTTTCTATGCATAGATTTCTGCTTCCATTTAAGATCTCTTACAAATTCTGCCTAGTCTGCTTCTCCAGAAGAGTCCAGATCTCACATACCTCTGCGTGGGCTAGTAGATGTGAAAATAGATGTCTCGGATAAAACAGGGCATTTGCATAGAAGTTGACAAACAATTTAAACTCCTGAATTGATTTCTACTTGCATAGTGGGTGTCCAGCCTTCTTTTTTAGTCACAGGAACCTAGACAGTGAATACCTAGCTACTGTAAGCCTGGAAGAAAACAGTAATTTTGCGTGGTATTCTGATGTGTTTCTAAAGAGAATTAGTAAAACAGATCAGAACTGCAGCTCTTGCTGTATGGCCTCTGTGCCTCTCAGAGGGGCTGCTGGGCTGTTGCCTAGTCTTGAGGTTTCCTGTGTGTTCAAGCTTGGTGTAACTTGTAAGTGAGGTTCAGTGAGTGTACTTATGGAAATCTGGAAAGTATATATGCTTTACCTACTATTAAAATCATAAATGTTGTCAGTCCTCCTTTCTTTGCAACTATTGAACGTGCACAATGCTGGTAATATCTTTTGATATCAAGAGTGAACAACACTGGTAATATGTTTTAATATGAAGAATGGGGTTTGTTACTGAAACAGTATTTTGATTGCAAGGTAGTAGGTTAATGTCACTACAACTATTTACATGCTGGAATGCTTTTTTTATTTTTTTATGCAACACCCTTGCAGTAGTACAATACAATACAGGAGTATTACTAATTTTCACTGACCTGGATAGTTACTAAAAATAGAAAAGAATCAGTTATTTGATAAATCTGTGATACCATCTGATTGACACAACTTTAGAAGCTTGGATTACTTTCTGACTTCCTGGTTACTTTAAATGAAGTTTTTGCAATGCAGTTTTTATGTATTAAGCCTTTTCCAATCGCTGTGTTTCAGATGTAAAAATGGAATACATTTAAAGTTAAAATCTTTTCAGAAATTACATTGTTCACTTCAAAAATATTTTTCCTTGATACTTAGTTTTGTTTGCCTTAAGGTTGCTCCTTCTTTTCGCTCTATGATAGCTGTTCAGCAGGAACAAAGTAATACAGCACTGTCTGAGCTCCAGAGAGAGGGATATGAACCTTTTCCAGAGGAGAAAAAGGAGCCATTTAAATGGTCAAGATTGCCTGGACAGGTAAAGTGTTTTTCTTTTGTTTTTAAAGGAAAATAATTTAAATAGCTACTATATTTTTCTAACTGTTTTTATGGTATAAGTATTATGAAGCAAGTAATTAATTAAAATTAAGAAAAATATTAAACAAAACACGAAAAAAGTCTCATAGATAGCAGAGGATGCCTAATCTTAGCAAATATGGTTGATTTAACCATTTTTTTTTCCGAGAACAGTCAGGTATTTTCATCTCCAGAATTCCTCAAGAATTTGAAAGAGTAGGGTTATACGGCTAATGGAAGTAAGACAGGAAACCTGTTCTCAGATTTCAGCTTGATTGTAAATATATTTTCTTGAGATTTTTTGTTTGTTTGTTTGTTAAAGTTATTTTCATAGTATAACAGAAAGAACTTATATTGAAGAACCTTCCTAAGAAGGTTTTTGCTGACTTCATCCTAACCCCTAACCCTAATGAAAATCAGCAGTCATAAAATGGGAATATTTTTGCAACTATGTATAGGATGTCCATGCAATAATTTCATATCATTTTGTAGAACAGCGTTAGCACGGGTTCATGACTCTATACAAATTCAAAGCATAACATAAAGATTTGTTAAGAAAGAGTGATGATTTTTATTTTGGTTCCCTACTGTAATTCTTGTACGGATACTTTTGAAAAGAACCCTTAAATATACGTGGACTTGATTTCCAGCACTGTTTGCTAATAATAATAAAATAGTAAGGAATAGATTAGGGTTTTTACAATGGGAATTTTCTTACCAAAAATGGCAGGATACCTGAAAGTTGTATTTAGGTTAAGTATGTTACTTTATTAGCTCATTTATGCTTAGACTAGTCCATGGGCATATTGAAAAATGGTAGCAATGATGATGCATTTTGTGATGTGCTGTCTTGTGAAAAAGTTTCAGTAAGGTTAGCATGATGTGGTATGTCTGTTTGCTAAAAAATATTTGAAATATGCACTGGTTTAAAATTTAATAGTGGATCACAATTATTATTTCCTTTTTATACATTTAAATTACTGTTTTGCAATTAAAGCTATCTTTGTAAAGATAAACAATATGTCTGTATCTGTCTCCATAGATGGATGATATGTTATTTTTTAAAAATGTTCTATAGAATTATGACTTATTTGATACATGAATTAAATATTAAATTCATTTTATATGTGAATTATAGCTACATGACCTGGAAATGAAATAAGTTTTTCTGAGCTGAATTACTAATTCAACATAATATTGTTTTATTTTAGGACAAGTTTAAAAAGCATAAGAAACCTTAATTGCATATATAGTTTTTAACAAGATTGATAGTGTATATACAATTATTTCATGAGTAGATCTATTTGTTTGTAACAAATGTGGATAGAGCCTAGCCATGATGATGAGATCTATTTCTATACTTTTAAATGAATATAAATCTGTTCACACTCATCTTTCATTCCTAAAGGTAAATCAGGTTTAGGTTAAATAATCACATAGCTATTGTGGATATTTTACTTCACCTTAAACTTTGAAGAAAGTGTTGAAGAAAAAGCCCTTGGGTGAAAAAAGAGGAAATATTTTGGAAGAAAGGAAAAGGGAGTAAAATGCCTGTGCAGTGTTTTGAAATGTTTCATCTCTGGTTGTATCTTTAAAAGTCAGGTATTTAAATACAGATGAGGAATGCTAAAAGTGATTTGGTAAACCCAAGGTTTAAGTGCCTGTGGTTGGACTTTTGAGTTCATTAAGTCACTGAAAGTTGTGCTTAGACTCCTTAAACAAGCTTGACTTACAGTCTAACTGCACAGTTTGCATCACTGATGATAGACATTATTAAGCACTTCTTAAAATTAAGGAAATTATTTTAATTTTAAATTTTCTTAGGTTTTTAAAACTTTCTAGTGGTTTGTAATAACGGGACAGAAACAAACATACAAACTAGATGTAGCTTGAGTTATGCTGCAGAGCCATCTCTGTATATAAGGTTGAATTTTTCTTTTAAATTCCATTAAGATGTTACTAGCTTTTTAAAACTTACGGATGTCAGTAGCTAAGAATGTGTTTTAAGTGTTAGATAGTTAATATTCATACCATTCTTCCCTGAAAAGCTAGGCTTGCCGCATACCAAACAAACACCTGTTTTCACTGCGAGGTGGAGATATGGGCTGTTTCTGTGTTCGTTTCTCTCATGATGGGAAAATGCTGGCAGCAGCGTGTGCAGGAAGGAACGGCTATCCCATTGTTTGTAAGTTTAAATATGTTCCGTGTTTTTCTTATAATTCATGTAGTTTGCAACTAAAGGTTAAAAGATGTATTTTTTAAATTGTCCTTTTTTTAGGGGTTCTGTTTTATTATTGTGTTTTGCAAATTCTTATCTGCATTAAAGGGCATTGAGGAAAATGCTCTTTCTGTGTTGATAGCGCTGGAACTGGCTTTTCATACATGGTTATATGTATACAGTTTAATGATATGAAATGACAGTTTCAGCCTGGAGGTCTAAAGGAAATACAAAATCAGTTTGCAGAAGGAACATATTTTTTGATAACAATGTTTTAAGTGAAATAAGTTTTTCAGCTCCTACCTCACAAAATTTTCATGTAAGTTTTTCTCCTAACCTGTCTCGAAGGTTAGATGCCCGAGTGTTGTCATCGCCTCCAGACTACTGGAAGCTGCTGTCTTCCATGGTCCAGTTCAGTCGAAATACAAATATTCCTTATTACTCAAATTTGGGACTGCTTCATCACAGTATCTTCAATTGCATGGTTCTTAAGCCTTCCAGAAGAATTTTGAGATTTAGAGAGAACAGTATTTTAAGTTTACACAGAATACAAGTTTAAATGCAAGGAACAATAAATCTAAATTCCTTTATTACACAGCCCCAGAAAGTGATCTCAATGTTAAAATAATTCAAAGATTGGTCAAATAGCTGCCAAAATTAAAAAAAAAAAATATGTATCTAATCCTCATCCTAATTTAAAGATAATATAAACTGTTTCTTAAGGGTTAAGACATTGTGACATTCATGAACCACTAGATGGAAGCAGATGCTTGCTGTCCATGCATATCTAGCAACTATTTGATCTTTTTCTCTCAAAATGAGAAGATAAAGAAAATGAGTTGATTTATGCTAGCAGAAAATCAGCCTAAGATTAGACTAAACTTTACTCTAGTAACTACATATATTTGACTGTAAATACTTAACAAAACTTTTATTTTTCTATTTAAACTTCACTAGTGTATGAAATTCCTTCTGGACAGTTCCTGAGAGAGTTTTATGGTCACCTTAACATAGTGTATGATCTTTGTTGGTCAAAAGACAATCAATACCTTCTTACTGCATCCTCTGATGGCACTGTCAGGTCAGTATGATGATGATGTTCTGGCAGATAGCATCACAAGCAGAAAAGAAAGCGGTCCAATTCAATATCTTACTACAAACTGTATTATACTGTTTTAGTTAAAGTTTTAATTATGTTATGACTACAGTAATATAAAAATTGTGATTGGGTTAGACACTGACACTGTATTTACTATATTGGTTTCTAATGTATATGTATGTGAGACCAAACCTTTTCAAAAAACTGTAGTGTTTAATTCTACAACGTAGTGAAAACCCAAAAGGTTTTTCAGTATTTCAAGAAGACACTGATACAGTTGTGATATTTGGTCCCTGGAGAAATTGCCATGCTATGAATGCAGTATTAAGTTTGCAAATTTGAACATGAAGCAATATATTGAAAATGTAAGATTCAGGTTATGTCTATAAATTGGCCACACTGCATATATGTATGTTGGTGGAGTTTTTTTGTTTTTGTAAACTTATTTAAATAATTCCACTTAAATTGCTGAAAATAAAATTTGATATTGTTATTTCTTAAATCGAACGTGTACACATTTTCCTCTACAAATAAAAAGTGTTCTTCAGTGCAATGTTAATACTAATCTGTTCAACTTTTAAAAGCCAAAACCCTTAAAACTGTAGAAATACATGAAAATATGGCTGTGACACTGTACAATTTTATGATGAGCAACTTCATTGGTTTTCATGGAGCTTTTTTTTTTTTTAACTCTTCAGATTCCTATGTGTTGTTTCTGTTATGCAACTCAGTAATGCTACAGGCAGTTGCATAATTGAAATGCCAGAAGAATTGTTAAAGGGTATATCGTGTATGTGGAACTGGTTTAGGTTTTTTTGTTGCTTGTATGTAGGCATAAAAAGAATGTTTTGAGAACGCGGCCCAATTTTTTTTTAATTTGGGAGTGGATTAAATAATATTTTTTTATATTGAGGTAAATATTAATTTGGCATTTATGTTGCCTGTAAGGAGGACCAGCTGTTCCTCAATTCTTGAATTTGTGGCAGCAAGTTGAAACTGTAGTGGTCTACCTCCTTTTCTGTGTGCTACGCATGGTCACTGTACGAGTTATTAGTTCCTGTATTTATTGTCCGTTGCCTTAAGCTCCTTAAAAAGTTTCAGCACCCCATTGCTTTAAATTCATTATGAGTTTATTACTTAGACCATCTCTTGTACTGAATTCTAGGGCAACTTGAAGGGAAATTTGGGAACTTCTGTGAATTCTTCTTTGTATACTCTTTTATATTATCCTCCAGCCTTTGCAAGGTTTAGTCCCACATAATTTGTGAGCAATAAATTAATTTTTATGTTGTTAGAGCAAAACCATTCTAAAACATAGGTAGATTCCTTGTGACCTTTCTGCATTAAGTTGCAAATTAATTGTACTCTAAAGGGTTACAGGTGACTCTGAGGTCACCTCAGAGTAAGCTTAGAATTCGTCAATAGCCACCAGAAGTGGTCACCTCACCTGGAAGGGTGTCACTAAAGCAATTCAATTCCATATTGTAACTGAGCACTCTGTTTAATGTGCTGCCCAACTGTATTTAATGATTCAGGTACTGTTCTATTCTTTGTGGACTTATCTTTGGGGAAGGCTCAGTGATAAAACGTATACCATCAAATAGAAAACACAGAAAAATCTGATCTTACAGCAATGGGTGTCAAAGGATAGGAAATAGATAAATAGTAAGAAGTGAATTTATGTGATGCAAACATCCTTGAGATCATGGTCACTGTTTGGTTGGTAATTACTATTGTAAAATTTTCTGGGGTTTTATTTATATTTAGTGACCCTAAATGTTCTTTTGTGGGTTTTTTCTTCTAACATTTTTTTAAATTAGTGATATCCAACAAGGTCTTGAATTGGTTATAACTCCTGAAAGAAAGAAACCGATCCGTTCCATGAAATTCTTTATGTGTATTTTAAAATGTGTAATATATCCATTAAATGAGTAAGTAGTCATGAGTTTACTTTGAAGACAGAGTACTATGTAAAGCAGTAAATGTTTCTTAATTCTTGTTACAAACTACTGTATTAAAGGATTAGATATAGGTGAAACAAATTGGTAGGATAAGTGGGTGTTGTTAGGTGTTTGCAAGTATTTACCTCTAGAACCACTAGCACAAAATCAGTTATATCTCTGTGTGTGATTGCTTTATACAGTAGATATCCTAACTTTATTTCCTTTTAAGAATGTGGAAAATAGAAATGCAGGCGGCATCTGCAGTGAGAGTTTTCCCTCATCCTTCGTTTGTTTACACTGCAAAGTACCACCCAATTGCTGACTCATTGGTTGTGACAGGATGTTATGACTCAGTGATTAGAATCTGGAATGCAAATGTGAAAGAAATCCATGGGCAACTGCTACAGGAGCTTGATAGTCATAAAAGTTTCATCAACACACTTTGTTTTGATGCAGAAGGTATGTAGGTAATATTACTTTTTATAGTTGTCTTTTTTGTCGAAGGCCAGCTTGACTAATTTGCTTTCTGTCATAGAGGCAATGTATTCTTCTTAGGAAGAGATTATTTACTGTGAGGGTAGTGGGACACTGGAACGGGTTGCCCAGAAAAATTGCAGATGTGCCATCCCTGAAGGTGTTCAAGACCAGATTGGCTGGGACTTTGGTCTAGTGGAAGGTGTCCCTGCCCAGGTCAGGGAGGACAGAGGTAGATGATCTTCCAACCCAAACCATTCTGTAATTCTTTGGTAAAGAAAATGAGGTAGTATAGTTAGATTGTGAGAATTTTAACACTAGACTGCAGAAGTGAGAAGGTGATGAACTTTTTGACATTGACAGAAATAGGAAACACTGAGAGAAAAGGACAGAGATTTGACCATTGTGAGTCATATTAACTGGTAGATTAACCGCTGAAAGTGAGTGATGTACTGGCGTGTACTAGTGAAGGAAGAGTTGAAGATGAATAATTAGAGGTACTTGGATGTGTTTGACTTTTTCTGGTATTAGTGATATCATTAGTTATCAGGCGGTTCATTTTTGGAGGTAGTCACTGAAGTAGGTACTATGGAGAGGAAAGCTGCATTTTTATAAAGAATAAATATTTGTGCTTAAAGAACAAGTATTGGATAACGGTATTTGTTCTTGTTCCAATTAAAAGTATATTCTATATCTGATATATATGCTAAATCCAAATTTATGGTATCAACTTATATCATGCAATATGAGCAAAATGCATTTGCAAGTAGTATATTATAGCAAAAGAGATGGAAGAACTGCCTATTCACAAAAATGCTAGAATGAAATGATAGAAAAAAAAAAGGTGATTTCTTGTTCATATATAGTTTTCTGTATTATTTTTTTGGTGTGGTGCTATTTCACTTATAAGGCATTATTTTACAGGACAGCACATGTTCTCAGGAGATAGTTCAGGATTGATAATAGTTTGGGATACACCTGTCAACGGAAGTTCTCAACATCTGTTTCAACACTGGAGGATCAATAAGGTATACAGGTTTCTTAAACTAGCATTGTAATTTTTATGTGAACTGTTCTAAATTTAGTAATTTGATTTGAATTCGAATTTTTTTATACGTTACCTTTTGTTTAGCTGCAAAGGTGTATTTTCTGTAAAAACTAGTACAAAAGAACTGAAACAATGTGCTGTGATTCAGTGACTTAATTTTTTTTAATTGTTTTGCAACTTAATTGGGTTGGGCACTGAAACAAGCTCCACAGGGAAGTGGTCACAGCACCAAGCTTGACAAAGTTCAGGAAGTGTTTGGACTCTCAGGCACATGGTTTGTTCTCTAGAGACAGTAATAAAACAGACCATAGCCTTTACAAATCACCTTTGTTCATACCTTAGAGGCCTAATGTTCAGTTGGCATTTCTGTCTTCAGCTGAATTTTTTTAAATTCAGTCACAACAGAATCTGCCTTGTGGTTGAGAATAGTTGATGTCTAGGATGTAATGCCTTAATATAGGAACAAACTTTTTAATCAAATAGAATGAATTGAGAAAAAAAGGGTAATGCAAGAGAAAAATGAATAATAACGTGTAGAAAAATGAGTTTTAAAACACAAGGTTATATATTTTTCTTTATTTTCCTTCTTTCGGTAGGAAATAAAAGAAAATGATATTAAAGGGACACCAATAAATCATTTGGAGGTGCATCCGAATGGAAGGCGTTTATTGATCCATGCCAAAGACAGTATCCTGAGAATTATAGATCTCAGAATGTTAGTATTTTTGGTGACAAATGTGTATTTCCTTTTTGTTTTAAAATTTACTTGGGGAAATAAAATACCATAGATGTATTAGGTGTGTAGCTGGGGAGGAGAAAGATGTCCTAATAATCAAGGGTTAGGAAATGGTTTCAAAACACCGCTGTATTACAGACCTTTTGTGTGATGTTGGGTAAGTCTTTTAGAATAGAAGATCCATAAATTACTAGATTACGTGGGAGCATAAGGTGGCATGAAAAAGACAGTGTTAGTCTCCTAAAGATTGAAATCCCTTTTCAAATGCAATCTAGGCATGAAAATAACTTTGAAATGATAACGTTTATTTGTGTGTTAGTTTCTCATTGTTAAGACTCTGGGAAGGGTATTTTGATAATGAAACAGAATATGATTGTCATCATAAATACTGAAAAATGCAATGATGATTGTATTATGGTGTATTAAGCAGGCTGTGAGATATTTTGACATAGGTTTTTGATGATTATCTCATTCTTAATAGTTATGAACATGATTCTTTAGTAATAAACTACAATAAAAAGCAAGGGGATTACAGACTCACTTGAGTCTTTGATGTTGGAGAGTGACCAGTTCAACCCAATAATCAAATCACAAACAGCATGTTACTCAGAGCTTTATACAGTTGGGTTTTTAATATCTTGAAGGGTCTTTAATATCTTGGAGATTTTACAGCTTCTGAGAGCAACATGTTCTAGTGTTCATTCACCTTCAAAGTAAAAGACTTTTTTTCTTAATTTTAAGCAGAGCTTCCTATATTTCAGTTTATGTCCATTCCCTCATGTCCTTTCATTGGGTGAAAGTTAGAAGGGTCTCACTCTAATCACTTAAATACGTTGTTAAGATGTACCTGAACATTCTGTTCTGGAAAGTGACATTAAAAATACGAACATGCTTCCTAAATGTTTTATCCTTAATTTCATAAGTGTCTTTCCTCCCCTCACTATACAGAAAATCATCTTTGGAGATATTTAAAAGATATGTAGGTGTGGCACTTAGGTACATAGTTTAGTGCTGGACTTGACAGTGCTGGATTAGCTGTTGGACTTAATGTTCTTGAAGGTCTTTTCCAAACTAAGCTGTTCTGTTATTCTATTGGATTGAATGTTTGAACTAGCTGAAGACTTTACAGTGTTATAGTGCACTTTTCCTCTTTTACTGTAAACAGTACATTATAATGACTATGCAAGAAGCCTAAAGTATCCACTCAATCAAAGCTTGAAATCGGTGGATTGACAGAGCAAACCTGTAGTTTTTGAGGCAGATAGTGTTCTTCTGTTGCTATGCTTTCTAAAAAGGACAGAATTTTAGTTTGAGAGGGGAAAATGGACATGCATATTACTCTTTAAGAAAGGGTTGATATGGGGTGCAATTTCACAATTATTTTAAGTAAGTTTATCCATAGGACGCACCATCTCCTTGGGTCTGCCACACCTTTGGCCATGTATTCCTAGCATTTCCTTTTTATCATCTCTAGAGGTCTTTTGATGCAGGGTGAGTCAGATCAGTGTGCTGATCCGACTGAAAATCAGCCTACAAATACAAATTATTAATTTTCATTTTAATCAACTATCTTATCAAACTTGTCTGATAGCTGCCCGAACACTAGAGAAGAAATGAGGGAGAGCCTGGGAAAACAAGGGTGGAGAGGACAGCAGCAGGACTGCTACTTTGACCACAGCCCACAGTTACATTGGCTTAAGTCTATCAATAAACCACAGGGTCAGATATCCAGCAGTGATAATTTTACACGTCAGCATTAACTGTTCATTCCCTGCATGAGAAAAGAGGGGGCGGAGGTCACAGATCTTCACAATTCACTTTGATTGATAGCTTGTTGCTCTTAACTTTCCTCTTTTAACTTGCTTTTTTGATCTTTTTGGTTAATACTGCTGTCTTGTCACTTAGGTATGTGATCAGAGATTTGGTTCAGTCCTCTCCTTAGGGTTTCATATGCAGGTTAGTTTTACATCTTGCAGAGCTCTTCTGTTGACATCTCAGAGATACTATCTCTTTTTATTCACACAGCTAAAACTCCTTTTTGGGCTAATACAGTCTTGCACTGTGATCATTAAGGAATCCTTTTCTCTTACTTGCCAAATAGAATTGCATATGGAGTATGTTTATTCAGAATATTGTTTAAAATAATCTTCCTGTCATATGAAATGCACTGCATTTCTCCCAGCATACCTCCATTATTTCTTCAGTAACACATTTGAAAAATTACTGGCTTCTGCCTTTGAGGGATGTGGTGGACTATTGCCATTCTTCTTGCCTCAAATTCTGTGTCATAGAATTACTGCTGTGTTAGTCTCCATGTTGAACTTTCATATTGTTTTCTAGGCTATGCCTCATGTTTGAAATAGCCTCTTAAAAGCTGACTTATGCTTCTTTCCATCCTTTTGTAGGTTCACTCCCACTTGATGCCTGCAAACTGTTTGACAGTAGATCATGGTTACTAAGCTGACCAGTAGTGTTTCGCTGGAAAAAGGAATAGGATACCTAAGCTGCAAAATAATATTAAAAATATTAATAGTAAATTAACATTTATATCTTGAAATTTGTTGATTCTACTGCTGATTTTCTAACCAAGGAGACATTAGTCTGAAGAGCTGAAGAGAGCTGCTAGATAAATTTAAGCACTTAAGCTCAAGAAGCGTAATGAAAACTTTTTTGGCAAAGCTTGGAGTAATAGTGCCAATTTCCCCATTTTTTGCAAAGCCCAGGATCAAGACAATGCAAATTACTACATCTGTATCCATTCTCTAGATCTGAGGATTTTGTTTTTCTACTGAAAGACAAGGATGTATGCTTTCATCTGTCATGTCAGGTGCATTATGAAAGTCAGGGAAAATGAAGGGTGAACACTGCACTCTGCAGAAGGTGCATATCTATTTGGGATGCAAGGTGTATTGATTTTTCTGAGGAATAGAGGGGGGAACTGATGCATAAAAAGTTAGATTGTTTATTCTAAAAGTATCTGCTACATTTGTAAACTTTCTTTTTCTTTAGCTTTGCTACGAAGAAATACATAGGTGCCACAAATTACAGAGAAAAGATTCACAGCACCTTAACACCATGTGGTACGTTCCTGTTTTCAGGAAGTGAAGATGGAAAAGCTTATGTTTGGAATCCAGAAACAGGTAACTAATTATTTTATGGTCTTAAGCCAAATTTTCAAGGCTGAGGGGGAAATGATTTTTTAAGCTTTATTGAAACACTTTTGATACAGAATAAAAGTTATGTAAGATGTACTTAAATCCTGAGGCTTTAGCTCCACCTTTTAAATAGCTGTTATTAATCTCTGAGATTTTATTCTCTAGAGGAAATTAATAGAGGTAGCATTTGTAATATCCAGCAGGATTGGAGCACCTGAAGCTCAGCTTTTTGTATGCTGCAATTCTTTACATGAAGGTCTTAAAATGGAATGCACAAAAAATGTTTTAGGTCAGATCAGTTTTTCTGTTGTGCTGTTTAGATTTGGATTTGGGAATCAGGCTTTTGTTGAGAACCACTTCATCTGTTTACCAAGGGTGGTCAGAGACTCAGTATTTTTTGCCTGTGGAATATAAGGTTTCTTTGTAAATTAGTCCCCAAGCCAAGTAGTTTCAAAATAGCTACCAAAATCTTTCTGAAAAAATGTCAAGCAAATGTAAAATAAAGAGTTTGCTGTCTTCTTGTGCGGGAGGTAAAAGAGACAAAAATGACAGTAGAAAGTAGCAGAATACCATTTTGGTTTTGATGAAATAATGTTCTGTCTCTGATTATGATCTAATTAATTTTTTAAAAGGAAAAAGTAAATATTTTAAAACTGGCAGATAACTAACAGTTTTGTTTTGAATTTCTCTCCATGTTTCCAACTACATTAGCTTATATCTATGCCACTACATAATTTGCCTGAAAACTTTAAAAAGAGAATAAAAGGAGGAAGAATCATAGAGTCAACTGGGTTGGAAAAGACCTTCAAGATCATCAAGTCCAACCCTTGATCCAACACTGCCGTGGTTACCAGACTATGGCACTAAGTGCCACATCTAGTCTCATCTTAAAAACCTCCAAGGATGGTGAATCCACCACCTCCCTGGGCAGCCCATTCCAATGTCTTATTTTTCCTAATTTCTTCCTAATAACCAACCTAAATCTCCCCTGGCAGAGCTTAAGATCCTGCCCTCTTGTCCTACTTCAGGTTGCCTGGGAGAAGAGAGCCTGGGAGAAGAGCCCACCTGGCTACAACCTCCTTTCAGGGAGTTGTAGAGAGTGATGAGGTCTCCCCTGAGCCTCCTCTTCTCCAGGCTAAGCAACCCCAGCTTCCACAGCCTCTCCTCACAGGACTTGTGCTCGAGTCCCTTCACCAGCCTTGTTGCTCTTTTCTGGACCTGCTCCAGCACCTCAATATCCTTCCTGAACTGAGGGGCCCAGAACTGGACACAGTACTCCAGGTGTGGCCTCACCAGCGCTGAGTACAGGGGAAGAATCACTTCCCTGGTCCTGCTGGCCTGTTCCTGATCCAGGCCAGGATGCCATTGGCCTTCTTGGCCACCTGGGCACACTGCTGGCTCACGTTCAGCTTCCTGTCAATCCAAACTCCAGGTCCCTTTCTCCCTAGCTGCTCTCCAGCCACTCTGTCCCCAGCCTGTAGTGCTGCATGGAGTTGTTGTGACCAAAGTGCAGGACCTGACACTTGGCCTTGTTGAACCTCATCCCATTGGAATCAGCCCAACTCTCCAGTCTGTCCAGGTCTCTCTGCAGAGCCCTCCTGCCTCCAGCAGATCAATGCTACCCACCAACTTAGTGTCATCTTCAAATTTGCTGATGGTGGACTCAATCCCCTCATCCAGATCATCAGTAAAGATATTAAACAGGACTGGGCCCACCACTGATCCCTGGGGGACACCACTAGTGACCGGCCGCTCTTCTTGTTTGTTACCCATACTGCGTGCGTTGGTGTACATGCACTTCAGCTGGGCTGCTGATTTCACTTCTGACTCGGGCTTTTCACCCTTAGGTTCATCTCTGGAGAGCCTGGTTTCAACTCTTTCCCCCTTCATACCTAGTTTAAAGCCCTCCTGATCAGCCTCGACAACTTATGGGCTAGAGTCCTTTTGCCCTTGCTAGATAGATGAAGCCCATTTGACTCTAGCAGTCTGGGTACCGTAGAATTTGCCCCATGGTCGAAAAAACCAAAATTCTGCCTGTGGCACCAATCCTTTAGCAACCTGTTGTTAAGATGGGTTTTCCTACTCCTCGTTTATCTCTGCTACTACAGGAACTAAGGCGAATGCCACCTGTGCTCCTGTCCCATTAACTAATCAACCCAGGGCCCTGAAGTAATTTTTAATTAGCCTGGTACCTTTTTCATTAATGTCATCACTGCCAGCCAGGACTTTGTTATTAGTATGTTTTCATTGGGTTTTGACTCATTTACACACTGTACTGGCATTCATAGTGCCATCATCTGAAGAGCTAATTTTATTTATATTTTTATATTTATTTATATTTTTAATAATTCTGTGCTTCAACTTTCACTCCTGTTGTCAGTATTATATAGTTGAAATTTGCAGCTAAGATGGCTATCTCTGGTACAATGCAAGCACAAACAAATACTGTGGAACGCCACCTTTCCAGAACTTGCTTATCAGAACAAGAGAACTCAGCTAACGTAGTGTATCCTCTGGGATTTCCTGCAGCTACTGCAACTTTTATGACTTATTGAATTACTTAAAAGCATGCAATATTTTTTTGTCTTATGCCAAATCCTTTTCAATAAGGAAATTGACTGAAGAATACTTATTTACAGTGTCAGACACTGTACTGTAATAATATAGGCTTTAACCAACTGTTATTTTGTTGTATCCAGTGTGTTTCAAATACATTTCTGTGGTATTAATAAACATATTTCAATTCTGTAGGAGATCAGGTGGCCATATATTCTGAACTCTCCTTCACATCTTCACTTCGTGATGTTGCCTTTCATCCACATGAACACATGGTGTCATTTTGTGCCTTTGGTCAAAATCAGCCAATACTTATATACATTTATGATTATAAAGGTACAGTACAAATTTTCTTGATACACACCTGTAAATATTCTATTTTTAGAAGCAATTTTTTAGTATTTGTACTTCTTTTGAGGGAAAAAGAATGCAGTCATATGATGACAATATATACCTTTTTCCTGGGAAATTCCAAAACAGAATTGAACATGATCCCACACAACCTGCTCTAGGTGCTGCTGCTTTAAGCAAGGGTTTTGGCCTAGGCAGTCACCAGAGGTCCTGTATAACCTCAAGTTTAAATGTGCTATTCTATGTCATACTATGTGATTTTTGCAGCACTTTTTCATATATAGGCAGTGTCATACAAATATTTAAAAGCCCTTTTTCAGTATCAAGGTGGATTATGGAGCCAGAAAGTATAATCATTCAGAAAATTAATGAATAGTGTAATCAGAAGCTCAGTATTTTGTGCTGGCTATGTTACAAAATAATATTGAGGAGCTGTATAGAATTGAATCAGACAATGTAGACTTTTAAAAAACAAGTGTTAAATCTGTGGTGCAATTGTGTGAGAGATAGCTTTATTCCCTATGTTATATTAAAGAGAAGATAGTGATAAATGCTCATCTTGAATTTTTGGTATACAAAATAAAGTTCAGATTGTCCTTTGAAGGCTTTTCTGATAGTTGTGTTTAATTAAGGACATTTGCATCTAGACAGTAGATAATGTTAATATGAATTATGCAGGAATTCTTTTGTTTGAATTATGTTTGCAGGGAACATAGATCTGTAAAGCTAATCCTGTCTTTATACACTGACTTTTTAAGTAACATGTAGTAATGAGATTACTCCTATCAAATCTTGGAGTCTAGGTTATTTTTCTGTTGAATTGGTTGACTTTTACAGGAACATTAAATGAAATGACTTTACAATCAATATTCAGCGCTAAACTTCAATCCAGTAAGATATCTGCATTTCAGAGAGCAATGGAATTTTTGGGGGCTGAAGGATTTCTTTAAAATTTTTTGACTATTCGGCAGACAATGAGTCTTAAAAAAATCTAATACTGTAGTTTAAAATATATATATATATGTGTGTACTTACATATTAGAGATCACAGATATCATCACACTGGTAGTTATTTGTATCATCTGACTGCTTAACTAAGTCACTGGTGACAGTAAAATTTTGCATAGGTTGTGGTCATTTTTACATTACCTGTTACTATTCCATTTTTGGTTAAAAGCACCCACTTTACTTTCAGAAGGTAATCTTACTGCCTTAGTGTTGAATGAGTTAATCATGTAGTAATACTAATTTTAGTCACTGACACACTTTTTAAGACTCTAAGAGTATGTTTTAGATACACCAACAGTTTTATTAATATCCTGCACAGAACTTTCGTGAAGAATTCTTTTAACCTATATTGGCTTGAGACCACAGTACAAAATATTGCAAAAGTCAGTTAATACCTTCTGTGCCTGTATAATATGTCTGATAACTTCTGAAATATTACTCAACTATAATAAACTCACTTGAACTAGGCTGGAAAAAATATGAAATGTACCTAGACTTGAACTTGGTACAAGCTTTATACCTTTCTTGACTTTGAAAAATTTTTATCTTCCTGTCCCCCTGCTCTCCCCTCTTACACTGCCAATATTTCTGCATGAGGAACACTGTGGCTCATAAGCAATACAAAAATATCAGTTCCGTGTGAGAGATTACTGAACACAGATAACAGAAGTGAGAATTGCAACCAGAAGAGTTAAGGGAAAATGGGGTAGTATGGAGAAAATTTCATGTCATTTTCAGGTTTTCCCTGTAGCACTTTTAGTACAGATTGTGATGGTGTTTGACTGAAGATATGGCTGGCAAAATGGCAGCAATCATTCCGTTTTGTTTTTTTTCCCATGGCAACGTAAGGCTTCACCTGACACATTAATATTGGTTATTTCTACAGTTGCACAACAGGAAGCTGAACTCATAAAAGATCTCAGTTCATCACTTACCACAGCTGCACCAAGAGGGCCACAGTTCTTTAGCAGTTTTTCTGAAATTCCTGTGCAAAAAAGCTTAGTGATGTCTCCGGCAGATCAGTTTGTCAGTGTTGCAAGAGCATCAATGAGAATGCAGAAGGTGAAACAAAAACTTGATTCTGTTTTGGTAAGTCAAATTTAATTAATTTGCAGAACTATATAATCTTCTCAACCAAAGTTCATATTCTGGGACTGGTATATGTAACAAAACATATATATATTGTCATAAGATCTGATCTTCAGAAGTTAATATGTCTCTTGCTAATATTAATGCACCCATAAGCAGCTCTTTAGAAAAGAGTAATCATATAAAACTTTTGTTTATCAAGTATTGATAAAAGGGATGTTTTTTGCTAGTGCCATTGCCATTCAGACAATTCAGAAATATGATTTATTTCATAGATCATTGTGGCTGAGCTTCAGAATGTTCTCTCTCTTTTGTTTGTTTGGGGTTTTTTTTCCCTATTCACCTTTAAACTTGTATGTGGCATAAATGTCAGGGGTTTTATAGTGTAGAGGGCTGCAGGGCTGACCTCTGTGGGAGATCGTGGTCTTTTGTGTCCTGGGCACAGCTGTTTCAAACCAGCTCTGCAAAGGACAGTACAGAGCCACTGCACAACTGAAACTGGAGCAAAACAAAACAGCATATGGGACCTCCAAGAAAACATACTGAAGAGAGGTCTGTATCTAGTGGGGACAGGAGAGACCACAGCAGAGGAGAAACACAAAGGAAAACATGTCAGAAGGCACAAGTGGAGATACAGGAAGAGAGATAGGAGGCATGAAAGAAGACACAGCAGGAGTCACAAAGGTGATGCAAGAGACACAAAATGATGCAGAAATGGAGATACAGGGGAGACAACAAAGTAGGCGTGAAGGGAAACACAGGAGATACATGAGGACATGCAAAAGAAAACACAGGAGATGGTACATCTCTGAAGGGGCTGCAACCTATGGAAGAATCTGTGCTGGACAGGTACAGTCCCCAAGAGTATTTTATCTGGTGGAGGATCCATACTAAAGCATTTGAAAAGAGTAAGAAACAAGAAGAGTCAAAAAGAGCAAACCACTATACACTTAAGACCACTCTCCTGCAGCACCATACCAAAGGGACTGAGTGTAACCTAGTGGCAAATGCAAGCAGGCTGGGGGCTAGAAATGAGGAAAAAGAGGTGCCTAACGCGAAGCTGGGACAAAGAGGGATAAAAAGTGTTTTTTTGGATGGGTGCTTGACTATTTGTCTTGTTTCTCAATACCTGCATTAGTAATTAAAACCTTTGTAATGGGCAATAAATTTCATTGATATTCCCCAACTCAAGACAATTTTGCATGCAGCAAGAGTTTATAATGGACCTGAGTAGCACTATGAAATTATAATTACTTTTCACAATGACATGAACTGCCTTTGTGTTTGCATTTATTATTTTTTGGTTTTAAGTACTTTTGAATACGTGTAGATTTTTTCATGTAGTTTTAGGTTTTGTCTTTATTAATAAGTGAATCACAAAGGAAGCAGGTGAGTAGATGAAAGCAGTTGTTGCTGAGTTTGCTGTAGCTATTCTTATCATGCTTTAGGGGTTTTGCTTTGGATTTGATCTAGTCTTGTTCCCTGGATTTGACATCCCATTAGGCCTGAGCTTTGAAACTGTCCAGAAGAAAGCTATCTCACAGTCCTTTGATTTTTGGACTGTGAACTCCCAGTGGACTCCTTTCTAAACCCCATGTTGTAGTCCACGTGGATAACAGTAGCAGGTTGCTTCTGCCTTTGAATTAAACAAGGTCTCAGACAAGGAAGGAAGCCTTGTTTCTGATTTCTCCTTATTTTGTTCCTACTCGTCTACAAAGTGAACACTGGTGCCTTCAAGTTGTTTATCAGAGAAGGACACAATATGGAGAGAATGGACTATGTGTCTAGGACAAGTGTTCCTGGAAGATACTCCAGAAGAAATTTTAATCTTCTGGATGTCTCATGAGGAAAAAGATGGGGCTAATGAATTTATGAGAGTCTTCGTCATTGCATCTGTTTAGTCTCAGATTAGCCAGGGGTTCTGGACTGTGGGAAACAAATCTGGTTTAGCAGAGCCACATAGATGTTCCATGGAACCATGTAGCTAGATGAAAACTGTAGATAAGCCTACAGTTGTGTTTGAGAGAATAACTTTCATCCACTGGAGTTTTGTAACCCTAGATTTCCATTGCACAATGACCAGTTTGGGATGAGTAAGTTCATTGTGAGCAGAGTCATGATCAACATTTTTGACAGCATCCTCCAAATCCTCTCCTGTGTGGAAGATGTCGAAAAGGTCATCTGAGTCTTCTCACCATGTGGGTTTCCAAACAGTAGAGAATGGCGATTGAAAGAGTCTGCATGCATTTTGATACCTGTCACATGCAGTGGTGATTATAAACTCTGTGAGAGTGCTTCCTGGCAGAGCTTTATGAACCACTGAGATATCTGGGAGGAGATTTCTTTGAAAGGACTCTTGATACTAATCTTTTCAGTGATCCAACATGAGATTCAGGAGACCGTGATAACGCCTTTTCAAGCAGGGATAGGATCATTTCTTGCATTTGGATGCAGTCTTGCCTGCCTGCATTATCATGTTCTGGACACACCAGAGTAAAATATAGCAACACTAAAACTTAAAATTTCTACTGATTTGTAATTGGGAATTACAGTTTTGGATGTCTGTGCAATTCACTTTTTCATGTGAAAAAAGATGCATGTACGTCAGTGCAGGCTTTGCTGGAAGGCTTATTAGAAAGCACACTTGCATAAATAGTTTGCTAAAGTGTTTGTCAAAGTAAATAAAAATTGCAGCACAGCTACATGCATGAGAATGTGCTTATATTTCTGGGAACAGACAAGTAAAACTAAAGAAAGGAGACTTTATGAAGCCACACATAGGGTGGCTAGCTGCCCTGTGGTAGGGTTGGAAAATGAAAATCCAGACGAGAACACCTTGTATGTATTTGTCTGATGGGAAAAACAGTAGGGAACTAGAAACTATGTAGGCTTTGTACTGGTCTTTAGTTCATGTTTGCATACCAAAAGCTTGTCATAGATTTGTAGGAAATACCATGTTGGGGAAACCATGGTGGCAGCGTACCTTGTAGACAGTAAACCTGGCCTAAGATCATGCCTGGAGTCAGGTTTTATGAGACAAAGGTGCCGGAACACCAAAACAGCAAATCTGCCAACACAGGGGTCTCTGATTTTAACATGTGGGAACTTAAAAGTTACTTTCATATCTATTAGCTGTTAAGTGCAAAGTTTGGAGTTCTGTGACTTAGGTATATGATTTGAAAATGTAAGTCAATACATTAAAGTTTGGTTTAAGCTAGATAGAAATAGAAAATACTCTGATCCTGTATGAGCTTGGGGTTTTTGTGTTGTGACCAGTGCCTCTTTTCCAGGTACCTTTAGAAGCAATCTTTGGGGTTTTTTTCTGTTTTTCTTCTTTGCTACCTGAACGGGAACTTTAATGAATGATAGATGAAGTTTCTTTTCTTTTCCTCTGCAACACTACCATTCTTTTTAGACCAGAAAATGTGTAATTAGAAGCAAGAGTTGACTATTGTGTTTAAGCTTTAACAATTCACAAAAGCTGAGACATTTTGTTACAGAAGGTAAAAATTAATTTCTGTATGAAACCAGAATGCAGAATTGGCTTCTTTACCACAGAGAGAAATCACAGTGTAGTGAATCTTGGCAGCAATTATTATTTATCTCTGCCTCAAGGAATGTATGATTCTATTCACAGAAGTTTTTGATAGGAAAGCACTTATCTCTGGTCCTTGAAAGAACTCATAAGTGCTTTTCATTCAGTGTTACTATTTATGTTTTTAAAATTTCACTTCCATCTAGCAGTGAAAATACCTGTTTACAACTTTGCATAACAAGAGGATGATATATGTTATCTAGGTATGGGGAGAAGGGCTTTCTTTAAAGGTTAGTATTCACCTCTGAAATTGTGATTTTTAGATGCCTAACTCCTTTTTAGCACTTACGAATAGCATCTATATATACTCTGTAGTACTGATCTTGGAATCAATTAAATGTTGGCTGCCTCATCTCTCAACATGTGAATGCTTCTAAATTAAAGTATGATGAGCTTTTCCAGTCTTTACTTCATGCTATATTTATGAAAAATGTATTATTAAAAGGTTATCAAAGTGGTTACCAAAATTCTGATATTTGGAGTGTATTAAGTGTAGTATGAGACAAGTAGAATGTGAAAGTATTCTTTCCTGTATACAGAAATACTTAAAACTGGTGGGTTTTTTTGTCCTTTGAGTGTATTTATTACTGTGGCATAATTCATAAAAGGAGTAGCTACTGTGAGAGAATCCAGAAGCTTATGCCTTGGTTTCCATCAAATGTACTGAACATTCATCATTAAGCTATATGACTACAAAGTATGCTCATAAATGGTGCTTTGGTGTAGTATAGATCAGATAGTATACTTTGTAGTCCTTTCAGATGGTCTTCTTTAAGAATTTAGTTGAGATGCAAAATATATCTTTTTGCGTTAGAATAGAATTTAAAGCCGCTACTTTTCAGAAAAAAAAAACTGTGCAGCCTTTTTGGTGAACACATAACCATGATACTGATAGTATCTATATCATCAGGTGGAAGAAGACAAACTTGTGCTTTTGTCTGCGACAAAGACCTAGACACAGAGCTAGATGCTCAAGTGGTGTTGTTTTGGTTTTTTTTGCAGTCTTGTGAGGATCTGTCCTCTGGTTCATCTTGATTTTGGTAGATTCTGAAATACCGTGCTTGACTTGTGGGCTTTACTGCAAGTCTGGAGTTCTATAGTAACTTACTACGGCTTCTACCTGAAGATGGAAAACTGGAGAGTCATAATATACTAAGTACTGAGGACTCTTTTGAAAGCATTGACAGTTCTGTGAATGTTTTTTGCCAAGTACAAGACAATGCTGCAGTGTTTTTTGCAGGCTGAAATAACTCGATCATGTGTGCAATACAAATTTCTTATCTACAAGCTCTCAGGGGAGGTACTGATATTCTGTATTCTTATCGTATGTATAAGAAATTTGCAATATGTTTAAAACCTTTTGTTTACTTTCTTATATTAGTGGAGAATGTGATCCTGTAACACA